TTTTTCAGCTTATTTTTTAATATCTTATTGCATTAATAATGTTTACCGTAACATTGCAATATTTGAACATGTGGCAAAAGATGCTCCAGTTCTTCTTGCACTTTTGGCCTAATTGATGTACCACCGAACATTACAGTTTTCAAAAATGATAATGGATATTTCTGTATGCAATTTGATTGGTGTAAACGATTCATCATGTTTGTACTGAGGAACACAGTTTCTATCTAAATAGTAAAATAATAATTTATGCTTTTACTATATTATGTCGAGATATGATATAAAATTTAATTGCATTTAAATATAAAATTATTTATAAAATTAACAATATTAATAAATAAATATTATTTTTATTTAATTATTTAATATCTATCATTAATTAAATGTAGAAATAAATAAAAAAATAATTTATTACTTACAACAGTAAATATAAGACTAATAGATTATGATACATTCTTTTTAGTTTTATAGTTAGCATTTATTTTGATTGGAACATTTTAATATCTATTTCATTATTCATTAAAATGCTTGTAATTCTTAATTGTACGATAAATACTAGCAGAAAATTAAGCATCTTATTATAATAAATTTTAAATTTTATTATAATAACTCTATTATAATTATTATTATGAAATAAATTGCCTCAATTTTATCACAGAAATTACGAGTAATTAAAGCAAACATTGTAATTGTTTATAAAACCTATATATAGTTCAGATAAGCGTAATAACGTATCTCGTTTTTAGTAATTACTTCTTTAAAAATAAAAAATTAAAAAATTAAAATTCTTTTATTTCAATTATTCGATAAAAAAACTTTTCAGATAAAATAATATTACTTTATATTTCTGGATTAATCGGCAAGTCATCTCCTCGTCAAATTCTGGATAAATAATTGCTTTGGTACTTTGTATGATTCCGCTGAAGCTCATTATTACCCCAGTAATCCAATAAATAGTAGAAAACCAAAGTGATGGCACATTGGTCAAGTTTATTTCATATTGAAGGCTGATAAATAACATAGCGTAGTTAGACAGTTCGACACCCTTTGGTATTCCTGTAGTGCCCGACGAATGCATAATGCACGCTGTCTTTTTAATGTTATCGAGTTCGATGTAACGGAAATTAGTCACTTCCACATCGTTACAATTTTTCAGGATATCGGAGAATGAAACTGCGTCGACATGCTTACCAAAAACCACTACCGTAGCATTGTAATTCTGCTTCTTTATCGCACTTAAAATGATATTAACAGATTTCTCGCTACAGAAGATCATCTTTGGCATCATCAGTTGCAAAAAGTACAATGCAGTTTCTGATATAACAAATAGCTCATAAATAATAAAAAATAAACGCTAAATAATATGATTAAATTATATTTAATTAACACAAAATAAATAAAATTGTTATTATAAGGAAGGCATTATTTTTAATGCCCTCTAATTTAATTGGGTGTGATACGTGAGAACATTTGATAATAATTATCGCGCAAAATAACTTACGCAAGTCCATGTTTTCATTCCATGGATTGAAAATCGCGTTGATATAAGTTGTTGAAAGACAGGGCACGATAGAATTAAGATGATTGCCTGTACATATACTGATAACATCGCCAGATTTGATTCCTTTTTTTTGTAGCCACAATGCGCATCTCACAACTTTATTTTGCAGCTCCGCGTATGTGACCGTTTCTTCAGTGCAAGCGTCCAACTGCATAGTATTATTATAAAAATGTATCAAAATTACAAGAAATTAATTATGTTGTAGAGTTATTAGACTTATGATTAAAAGAACAATTTTTAGTTTTGGAGTATCAATTTTTTATCAATTGTATATATATATATATATATATATATATAAAACAAAATTTAAGCATTACTTTTCTGCAAATATTTGTACTTAGTTTTTAAGTAATTTTATTTAAACTTTAATGTCCTATAAATAAATTCTTCTTTTAAAAACGTATGTTAAATCATGTTTGAGACGTTAGATAATGTACTGAAATAATAACGTATTTATTCAACGTATTTATCTAATTGTGAGAACTACTTTTTAAAACTTTAAGATAATTTTTCTCTTTAGTGATATATTAAAGACAAATAAAACAAATTGTTGCTAGTTAGGATTAATTCCACAATTATTCCAAATTATATATTTTTACTTACTTGTGCGATTTTATCCTCATGGCTTTTAATGGTAATCCACATTAATTCTCCTAAACTTTTATAATTACTCAACTTATGCTGCGCTTGCTCTTTGTAAACGTTTTCCATGGTGAAAATCTGGATGCAACAAATTATACCCAATTTGAACTATTTTTATTTATGGCTGATTCTACTCAATGTATAATTTAACAAAAATACAATAAAGTTAAATAATATAACTTAAAGCAATGTATTAAATTTGACTCAAATTTAGTTTATTATCTTAATTTTTATTTGATTTAATTGTTATTCACTGTTAGATATTAAATGAGCAACGGTAAACTATGTTCACATTAATGTACTGTTGCAATAACATTAATGTGAACGTAGTTTATCGTTGCTTCTTTAATAACTAAAAGTGTATGAAAAATGTTGTGATAAGCAATATCAATTGCTCATCACAATGTTTTTATCTTACATGTCTAAAGATCTATATGCCCGAAATTATATTTAATTTTATATAATTATATATTTTTTTCAGGTATTTTACAACAATCTTTTGATTTGTAACATTGACGACATTGATTTGTATATTTACGACTTTTTAAATATAATAATCATAGAGACATGATGGATCATATTTATATACATATAAAAGAGATTTAAACTTGTAAAGAATACACAGTACCATCGGCAAATGTAAAAGTATCCGTATATAATGGAATAGAATTCTCAAAATTGAATAAAATTAAAATATATCTTAAATAAACGTGGTTATAATTTTAAAAATTAGAAAACAAAGAACATAAAAAACCACAGCACAGGTTGTCGGTTGTGATAATCAAATTTACATCAATAAAAAATTCTTTAAGCGTTTATCAATACAACATATCAAACAATAAACAATTAAATAAACAATTAAATAAACAATTTGGTTTCGGCCACAATCTGGCCACCTTCAGTAATTAAAAATCTTCTTAAGACGCAAATTTACATTTAGTTGAGTTAAATACCACAGTCGGTTGTTAAAATAAAATAAAAGTGTTCTTATTTGTGTGAAGATGCATCGTACAATAATCTTACAATGCCAGTTTTCATATCCGGACAATGTAGAACAAGAATTTCCAGATTCTAATCAGAATAAAATTGTATATCGTTAATCTCTTATACTCGAAATATAAAGCATAGACACGTTACTTGTTTTACAGCCAAAAAACTAAGCGGTGGATCTCAAATATCACTTTGCACACTTAAAATTTAGTCGTGACATTGTGTGTTGTTACTAGTAATAACATGTATTTTACCACTATTTATATACCGAGTCAAAACTCTCGAAAGTTCCAAAACAATTATTGAAAGAAAAGGAGAACCTACCTAAGAAAAGGAAGATAAATATCAGGCAAACCTTCCGTGTCACTTTACTTGTTGATATCTCTTGTTTGTTTTTTTATATGTATCATTTCCGAAATTCTTTTTTTAATCAAAGATTCCGTGTCTAAAATTTCTATATTCTCCCAATCCAAGTCATGCATCCCGCTAAGACGATGACGCGAAACAACGGAGATCTCAGAAGACGGTTTCCTTACATGCGCTTTATGTTCCTTTATCCGAGTTTTTAATTTTCGTTTTGGCCCACGTATGATGATCCGCAGTTTTGACAGTTTATTTTGTAGACTAATCCGCTTTTTTCATACTTGGAAAGAGAATCTTTTCCCGTCTTAATAAACTTGTTCATTGTATTCATAGGTTTATAGGCTATATTAAACCCATGAATATGTGAAAGTTTTTTGAATTTTTCAGATATACCAAGATATAGTATCGTGAAAAATTTGTTTGAAATAAAGTTCGAATTGTTTTCTACACGGTTCTCTTCCAAGTTAATTCTATTCGCTAATGTTTTAATTCTGTTGTTTATGGTGGAGAAAACAAATTTCAACGGATAACCATTACACAAGAATACATTAATTAGTTCAACAATGTTTTTTTCCTGGAATTTAGGATGAGACAAAAATATAATTCTATCAAGTTGATCGATAACACTTTATGATATTTATTTTTTTATAGATATCAAAGATTATCTTTCCTTCTTGTTTCATTAATTTAACGTCTAAGAAATTTATACCATTTTCGTCACTATAATCAACAGTAAATTTTAGTCTTTCGTGATATGTGTTAAACAATTCCAGAAATTCATCAACGCTTTCTTTATGCACGGCTAATAAGATGTCATCCACATAACGAAAATAAAAAGATAAAACAATATTATTCTTGGTAATAATTTCTTCTTCCAAATCTTGTAAAACCATATTAGCGAGTATCGGAGAACCCATTGGCAAGCCGAAAATCTGTTTAAATATTTTATTGTCAAACGCGAAAAATGTGGAGTCAATTATGGTCGTAACCGTTTTGATAAATTCGTGCAAAGGAATTGAAG